TGGCATTATTCTGTATTTTTCTCCTTTCCGCTTAATTGAGTAGAGAGTGCGTCCGGTCGTCTCTGAGTAATCGAGAAAGAGCAAGCATGTGAGTGCACATTCGAGATTCGCTCTGGACTTAATGGGATGCACCCGGGAGCCAGTTCAGATCCCGAGCTGCCGGGTTAAGCGAGGAGGTCCCGACCGCGGCTCGCGCGGCTTGATATATGATCGCAATTTTCAGACTTAACGACGCACTCTACAAGGAAACGTTTCCTACGAAAGATCCCAGGAAGCACACGCGCAATAACTTTCGTTCGAAGGATTTTTCGATATCGCGCGTCGTTCGAACGGAAAATTGCCCTCATCCGCGAACAAAGGGACATGCAAATGACGCCCTCTCCCCGAGCCATATCCAGCCTGGAATAAACGCCCTTCGATGCCCCCACCGAACGAAACTGCACTTCCTCGTCCACCACGTTCTCGTATCTCGACAAAAGTGCGCAATACGGCTCCTGAAAAAACGAATAAAGGAAAGGAAAACCGGCCACAAAGCGCGCTCCGCGAAGAGGCCGAGTCCCTTCGCGGCCGCGCAAAAGGTGCACTCAAGAGTTCTCCTCGGTCCCGTCGCACTTCCACGGATCGACCACCGTCGGGATCGCGATGCTTTTCACGATGTGGTAAAACGCCCATCCCGGGAGATTTACGTCCCTCCCGGTCGAAATTATAAGGCTCCGCCGACCCCTAAATGCACGGCCGCACTCGCCACTTAAAGGATTCCTTCGCGAGCTGCACTTGGCGTGCGCGCTCTGCCCGCTCTGGCCGGATATCTGGAAAAGAGGGAAAATGAGCGAAAAAAGGGGAAAAGGGGGATGGAGCCGGAAAAAATTAACCGGCCATGGGGAGGGGGCGAATAGACATTGCTTTACATCTGTCTTCCCGGAGCGATGATAAGTGCATCCCTCCACTCGGGCGCGAGGCCATTCGCGGCGCTATGTACTAATTTGACGTAAATCGCTCCTAGGTGCGCTGCCGAGCTCGAGTCGATCCTTCAGTCCAGCTCCAACTCGAACTCGTACCCGACTCGGCCATAACGCTTCCTTGGGGAAGGGTGCGCTCCTCTCGACTCCGCTTTTTGCCGCCAGGAAACGCGAGTGCCTACGCCCTGGCCGACTTTAATCGCCCGGAACGCTCCGACGTTCCGGACGTTCGATCACTGGCGTTTCGATTTCCATTGGCCGAGTCGCCTCGCCGAAAGGGTGCATCCTAGAGTAGAATGCATCCTTAAGGTGATACTAAAGGGTCATTCTATATGTATATGTTACCGTGAATGACCGATATAAACCGTGAAAATATTTATAGAAATTTTTTTTTTCTCCAAACTGAGGGCACCGAATCGTTGGAAACTTTAACACGTGATTACGGAGGCTCTAACGCGATGATCATGAAATTTCATTTTTTCAAACAAAAATATGTGTCCTTGGTTCTAGTCTGGGATACGTAAAAAAATGTTTGCTTCGAAAAATGAAATTTCATGACCGCCGCGTTCTTCCTTAGGGCCTTTATAATCACATGCTGAGGTTTCAAATTATTCGGCGCATCCTGATTGGAGAAAAGTTTTATCAAAATTTTGACGTTTTAGTGTATATGTTTATATCATACTTCCATATCACCTTAAGGACTCAGACATGAGACCCTCCGAAAGGACCCTCTTATAAATCAAGTCCCTCTGATTTAAGCCCATTTTCAACGGGAAATTTTTGTAACATTAAGGGGACGTCAAAGTGACATCTGAGGGGTCAATTGTTCATAACACTTTTCTCCGAACTGGGTGTATCGAATAGTTTCAAAATTGAAAATGTGAACATGGAGGCCATAAGGAAGGTCCTGACGTCCATAAAATTTCAATTTTTTAAAAATTTGTTTATAGATACTTTCGAAATCTTGAATAAAAAGGGCCTTTCTTATGGCACACGTGTTCACGATGTAAAGTTTGAAACGATTCGTTATACCCAGTCCGTAGAAAAGTTTCATTCACCCTTCAGATGCCACTTTGACGTCCCCTTAATTTTGGAAATAATTTCTTTGGCCTGCTCGAACATTCTGAATGCAGTTTTGGCGCGAGCGGTGCATAAATGCCGGAAGTTGGAAACCTTTTGCAATGGTTCTCGGCAACCAGTACGAGATTCCTCCTCTCGTCCCATATCCTCGGATACGCTCGGGCGTGGTCCGAGCTCGGGCTCGGCATAACAGTATCCTTAGCCTTAGTAATTCTCTTTGCATTAGTAATTGCCCTCTCCAATAATTCCCTCTACTTGGAAGGCAATCACTTGCGAGAAAACTGGATACCTTTGCGGGGGGAGATGCGCGCGTTCGGGCCCTCGAGAACGGTCCGCTTCCGCGATCGCCATTTTGCAGGCAAACGAGGAAACACTTTGCTTTAAACACCCCCGCGGAGACTTCACGCGGAATACGTAATTCGGTACTGAGAGAGAGGAAAAGGGTACGCTCAGTTTAATACGTAATTCCCACCTGAAAGACAAGAAAAGGGTACGCTTAACCTAAACGCGTTTCCGCCCCTTCGAGTGGACCAGCTTTGGAACTCCCTTAAGAAAAAAAAAAAAAAAATACAGCGGGTCTCTTTTCGTTTCGAACCTCATGGAGGGTTTTTTATATAAATCTTTTGTAACGTTTTATATAAATTTTATATAAATAACATTTTATATAAATTTTAGGAATTTCGACAGAGTGAAGGAAAGGGAACGGCTCGGCTTCGAACTTATGTTTCCTTTCCGGTTAATTTATTCATAAGCTTTCCTTTGCAGATAGACCTCACGAAAATTCGTTTTGCAACTGACGGGTCGATTTAACTCTGCGGAAAGTGCAAGAATCCTTCGGAGTGCAAATAAATGAACAGTTGCGAACCGACGTTGAAAGGTGTTCACCCTTTCACGCCCTCGCACCTGTGCGTACAAGTGCTCGGGTGTGGCTCGGGCTCGAGCTCGGATATAACAGTTATTTGCAACCCTGAGAATTCACTTTGCCTTCGCAATTTTCCCCTCCGATAATTTCGGCGAGTTCTGAGGTAATCGCACGTCTAGAAAAGCCGTATAGCGCTTTGGCCGATGCGGCGCGCTTCCAGGATTCCCTGATGAAAGATATCCCAACTTTCATCCACTATTCCCCGATAAATAAATATCCCCCTCCTCAATCTTACCCCAACCCAACGTCCCAATAAAATTATTTAGCCCTCAATAACCGAACGATTTTATATTCTAAGCAAAGAAAAATAATTCACGGATTATATTGGAATTGTACGGTCCTAGAGCACTGTACAATGATACAGAGATTATAGTAAAGCGGTATATAATATTCAGGGGAAAAAAAAAACGAGAAGAAAGTCCTTTACAGCGAGTTTCAGTACCCTCGGGATGAATGTAGAAAATCGATATTCATGAATAATGTCCCCAACCCATTTCATGAATTACTGTATTAGTACCTTCGGCGGGTTCATAAAAAATCCTCCAAAGCCATTAAATTAATTGCTATATCGCTTGGGAGGTTCGGGAGAGTCGCAAAAAGCAGGAAAGTCACAAGAAGACGGGAAAAACAGGAAGAGGGCAATTCCTTGAGGTTTGATTTAGAGGCACCCTGGACCGTGACAATCGGCCGCGCTCCTTTTTTTCCCTGGATTCCCTTTTCCCTTCTGGACTCGAGACTCCCTCGGGAGGAGATCCGCGCTTTCGGTGGCCGACAACGAGCCACTTCCGGGATCTCTAGTTCGAAGGAGTCGCCTCGGCGACTTGGCTAGCTGTAAACTAACCACACACCGGGTTGACACGGTGCTCGAGCTCGGCTCGCTCCTGTGCTCGTACGTGCGTGCGAGCCGCGACATCGGACACACGCATTCCCGGGAGAGATCGACGGGATCGGCGGGATCGACGGCATCCGAGTGATCCGAGGATCGACCGGATAGCCGAGAAATGGACGAGCTATGCGAGCCACAGCCCGCGATTCTTGTATCGGCCCTGTGGTCACTGTCCCGTTCGACCAGGAGGATCGTCCTCGAGACCTCGTCCGGACATACGAGAGGACGCCACCCTGCCTTTGACTTGCACTTGTCAAATGACGAACACGGAATCGCAATTTTTCATTTAAAAGCAAAATTCCGGATTTTTTATTTAAGGGTGGCTTTGCATTAGTTGAGCTAATTTCATTGAAAAAATGAAAATGGCTTCGGGATTTTTTTATTCAGGACACGAGAGGACGCCACCTCGCATTTGACTTGCACTTGTCAAAGGACGAAGACGGACTTGCAATTTTTTATTTAAAAGCAGAATTACACTACTCGACGTTGGAGCAAAATTCCGGATTTTTTATTTAAGGGTGGCTTTGCGTTACGCGAGGTTGGAGCTAATTTCATTGAAAGAATAAAAATGGCTTCGGGATTTTTTATTCAGGACACGAGAGGACGCCACCTCGCCTTTGACTTGCACTTGTCAAATGACGAACATGGAATCGCAATTTTTCATTTAAAAGCAGAATTACACCGCTCGACGTTGGAGCAAAATTCCGGAATTTTTATTTAAGGGTGGCTTTGCATTACTCGAGGTTAGAGGAATGGATTGAAAAAACTGAAGACACGGTCTCGCGATCGATTTGAATTTGAAGGTGATCCTTCGCCGCGAGGATTGATTTGAAAGGGGGAAGGTGATTTCGCACCTCCGAATTTACAGACAACTTTTTGCACGCATGAGGTGAATTATTGAAATACTTCATTGGTCCTCGAAGAACTATTTCTATAGTTAAATATTTTTTTTCTCAGGGTGGGTGCTTCCAGTGCCGGTGGTTCAAGAGCGAGGGATCAAAGGGTTGCACTCAGCAATCTCCGGGCAGATGCGCCCGCAGCCTCCGAGGGCTTACCACCGCATCCCTATCTCTCATCTCGGTGGTTATCGGCTCGCGAGGCGCGAGTGGGCGCGTTATTACCCGCTAAGGAATACATCTAGAGAATAACTTACGATCTGAACAATCGATCCCTTCGTCCGGCAGTCATGATCTCCGGGGCGATACTCGTGCCCTCGAGCGAGAGTCTCAATCGATCACCAATTACTCTCTTGAGATCACAGCACACTGTCCTGGCGTGGCTCGAAAGCTCGATTTCCTCTTGAGTCGAGCCTGGCTCGAGGTCGAGTCGGGCTCGGGTCGGGTTCGAGTTCGAGTCGCGCTACTCGCGGGCGGGCGTCTTCGGGTGTTTCCGGCTCCTCTCGGGTATCCTCGGCCGCGAGATGCGGGCTCGCGCGTAGGTGGAACACCGCTCGAATTCGGGACCGGCGATGCGGGCGCTTAGTGCGAGGGAGAAGGAGCGACGGGGCGGGCGGGAGCGCGACGGAGACGGAGCGACGGAGGGGAAGACACGGAGGCGCTCCGGCCGGCTCGCGGAGCGGCAGAGATCGACGGCTTCCTCCGCGCGAGGGAGAAGGGGCAACGCCGTGAGAGAGGATGCTCGCCGAGTGGAGCACTGCGCCGTAATGACATGGTCTAGGAGATGCCAGTCAGTTTTGTAATAACGCCGGTAAAAAGTGAATTTCCCGAGGTGGGGAAACGCCGGCAGGGCCAATCCGCGAGCGGGGATGCGCCAGCCCCGGCCAATCGGACCGCGACATTCCGGAGCGCATCTTCGCCAGATGTTCCTGGATCCTCCGACCACCGCCGCGACGCGCCCCACCACCCCGTGACGTCACACTTCCGGATTCTACGAAGCGCCGCGGCGGATCTGGGAATCGCGAGCGATTTCGAGAGATCTCGAGGAACTTAATCCCCCTGATTGGACCGTCTCGCGGTATGAGAACCTTCCCTGGATTCTGTCATATCCGAAGATAAAAATGGAAATGAAGAATCATTTCCGTCGTGCCTTTATCTATACATCGTTAATGAATACGCCACGAGACGCCATTTGCCGCGAGATATTATTTTATCCTCGGTTTACAGGTCCGCATTCATTGGGGAGGATCGGGAAAAACAAGATGGCGGACGAGAGCCGCGCAATGGAAAGCGCCCCTTCGGGATTCTTCCTCGATTTTGGGAAACATGGAGACGGTGGAGTTTCTTCTTCTCCGTGGAAGATTTCCCCACGTTTCTAACGGGGTTTTGGCGAGAAATCGGCAACGGGGAACCAGAAAATACGAGGCAGTTTCGCCGTTGGAGGTGGGCAGACCGACGCGGTGGTTCCGGGTTCGATTCCCAGGCCGCTGCGGAATATTTCCAGGCATCCTGGATCTAGATGAGAATGGCGTATACGTGCCCGGCGAACACGAAGTAGTAGCAATAAATTATTATTGTTGTCCGGATCATTTCTCGAGCAAGGGTCAATCCAGGATCGCACCCGATGCATCGTCGAGGCGCACCCTCGGACCGGGTGCAACCCGTTGCAGCCCACTGCATCCCGCTGCAGTCGGCTGCATCCTGCTGCATCCTGCTGCTCCTGCTGCATCCTGCTGCATCCTGCTACTCCTTCTGCATGCCGCACGACTTGGAAATCCGCCCGGAAATGCATCTCCATCCACGCGACTCATCGATGATGATGTCGAAGGATCTTCGATAACCCGATAAAAGTACACTGACAACGATAACTCAATGCCAACTCAAGAGGATCGTTTTTGCATTTAAATATAATCTCAGGAGTTACATTTATTAACTTAACTCGATAGCAATTCCTAAGTGGAGCTTGAAATTAATTTGAAATTAATTACGTGATTTTGGGATTCAGGATTTATAAAATAGTACTGCGTCGTTCTTAATCTCGAGGGATCGTTTTTCACTTTGACAATTGTTCCAGGATTTATATTTACTACAATAATCAATGCTATTGTTCAAGGAGGATCGTTTCGGACTTAGATGTAATTTCAGGATTTCTTGGAGCGTATCCATCACGGAGGGTTCCAAGACTGGGCTAACGAGTGAACTCGTTTAAGGATAAGCACGATTCTCTGATATTGTTGCGTTTCGGTGGTATCGGCAGGTCGGGGGTTCGTGCCTCGTCCGATGACGTCCGATGAAACGGAAACTGCAAGTTAAACTGCGAGTTAAACGATCCCCACTTATAGATGCTCGACCGAAGCGAATGCCACCCACGAGTTCCTTCCCAGGAACGGAGATTGCGCCTCCTTTCTGGGAATCCTGATTGGCTAGATCGTCGACGAAATTAAAGGACGCCTTTTATCATCGGCGCACCCTTCGGATGCACGGGGACTTGCATAGGGGATCCCTAAGGACCCCCGCGAAGGGATGGCGAGCTTTCCTCGAGACTTCGAAGATTTTCTCACGAGCTTCCACCCACGTGTTCCTTCCCAGGAAGGGAAATTGCGCCTCCTTTCCGGGAATCTTGATTAGCTTGATCGCTGGGGGAATTAAAGGGTGCCCCGTATCATCTACGCACCCTTTAACTGCACCAGGACTCGCAGGGGGTCCTTAAGGCGATATGAAAGTGGCATCTGAGAAATCAATCGTTTATGAAACCTTTTTCCGAACTGATTGTATCGAATCGTTTCAAATTTCACCACGTGATCAGGGAGGCCTTAAGGAAGATCCTGACACCCGTGAAATTTTATTCCATGTAAAAAATTTAAATAATTCATATAAACAAAGTTTAAAAAATGATCTTTTACGGGCCGGGACCTTCTTTAGGGCTTCCATATTCATGTAGTAAAGTTGCAAACGATTGGTATATGTGGTTTGGAAAAAATTTCATAAACTGGGCTTGTTGGGGGACACTTTTACATCGCCTTAAGGACCTCCGCCCAGGGGTGGCGAGTTTTCCTCGAGACCCCTGGGCCGACTTCGGAGATTTTCTCACGAGTTTCCTGCAAGGACTCGATGCATCTCGTGCACCGCTCGAGTTTACCTCGATAATGGTCGCCTTAACGGCGTTTAAACGGGACTGTAATTCATCAAGGAAACCCCCTTAGGAGCCCCGAGGTATCAGCGGACCCGATCGTACCCACGATAGTTCTCGCGCCACGCGATCCTCGGCTTATCCACTCGGCAGCCTCTAATGCTACATTGTCCGAATTACACGTGCGAACCCCCCCGAACCCTTATCATCTCCGAATTAAATCCCCGAGATAAGAAATTAAATTCAGTACTTAATACATCTCGTAATTCAATCTCATGGAATCGAACGGTACCTTTTGACGTCCACTCGACATCAGCTAGACTATAAATATTCATAAAATTCCTGTCATAAGGTTGCAATAACAGGAATTTGAGGTCTTATAACTGAAGGGAATTCAAACATAAATTTATAATGTCGTGACATCGCGTTACAGTTCCTTAAAATTGTTTAGAAAAATTCATACACTTGTGGTATGAATTTACAAGTTTTAAGTTGGTTTGAAAGATAGTACCCGGTGGAGGCGTTACAGAATTATGGATCCCCTTTTTTATTTAAGCCGCAGGAAGCCCGGGGGTGAGATGATGACGTTTTTCGTCGAGGGGAGCGAAAAATTGAGGTACAAAATTCATTGAGGAAATTGTACACCTAATCGCCGTATTGTTCGCCTAGCCCGAGGGCTCCGACATTATCCTATGCGCTGCATTAACATTTTTAACAGTAATCGCGGAACCATGGCGAACCGTTTTTGCCGTAAAATAGTACACGTTCACTGAGGCGGTGAACAATTGCGCGTTGCAACAGTTATTATTGCACGAGAGCCGTGCCATTTAACTCGGGCTCAGTGCACGCTGTACACGTGAGAATTTTGCACTTAGCCCGACACTCTTGTTGTCGTTACTGATGCGGCAAGTTCAACCGGTACGCTGAGAAAAAATACTCTTGGATGCGCCATATTTTAGTCCCTCTGTTAGGCCACGCTTTGCGACCGTGAAACTACTTCTTTCTCGGGAGAAAATTAAAAAAAAAAAAAAAGAGAGAAAGAAATTATTTCCTCCCACAACAATTACCCACCAATTATGTGAAACTGGTTAAACACGTGAAAACAACCCGGTATTAATTATAATACGATTTGTTTAATCGTCTAAGAGCTCAACCAAAATGGCGGACGCCGAAGAAGGCTCTTCAAGACGGGTTTAACTTTTTAACCAATTTTCTTACTTCGAGAAGCACCACCGAGATATAATTTTATTTAGATCCAGGGGATGATGCAGGAACCACTTATATTTGTTTTTCGACAATTGTAGAATTGCGTGCGTCGACGGGGATTTTATCTCGAAGGGATAACTCGATTCCCATCTAGGAGATGGCGAGCACTCTTTTTGCGCGCGAAAGGTGTAAGTAACCTCTTCCGCGATGGCAAAGACCTTTCTTACCTCCAAGGTGGCACTTAAGGATGCAAGTCACCTAACTAACCACGTATTGAACCTATTTAGCATCGTCTTCAGCACTTATTGTCCCTTGTCTCGTGATATTACCTCGGCAGCCTCCGGTTGTTGTCTTATTGTCCGAGTCCTGTGTTACGCGCGAACTTTTGTGCGGTCATCCAGGCGGCTAATATTCGGCAAGGTGGCGGAACAAATCGGCGGAAAATAAGGGACAATACTCTTACGCGTGCGATCATATTTATGCGGAATTTCCGGACGTGACGAGCGCTCCGAAAATGTCCAGACAATGATAAGCCGCGACAAAAGGTGGAGGGATAGAACCCGGCCGCTTCTTTCAGCGGCCATTGACCGTCATTAATATTTTTTTTTTCTAACTAATAAAATTACCCGATTAATATCTCGCGATAATTTATTGTCTATATTTAGTCCGGGATTGACAGTAAAAATTCTGTTGCCACATATTCGCGTTACCGTATTCGGCCCCTTGCACCGCCACTGTGCTCTTATTATGTTAAGAGGTTTGTTCCGGTTACTGCAATACACCATGGGGCTCTCTTGTTCCATATATAAAATTACAACCCTGACTACAGCTCTCTCAATTGTTCAGTTTATGCTTTAACATAGGAATTACGTGGATACAAAGCAACACCTGCGAGTCACGCGGATGCAACCGGCAATTTCGCGAGAATAGGCGAGGATAGGTTATATTTATTAAGAAATCCTCGACCTTAAAGCGCATCCTTAATGCGCGGGAGGCT